TCTCCTCTCTCTTCTTCTCTCTCCTCTGGCCTCTCGCATCAGCCTGCCGTTAAAAGCTGCAGCATGGTCACTCGGGGCCAGTCTTTATTGCTCCTCTCCTCTCCCTCCCTCCCTCCCTCCCACCTCTCTCTCTCTCACGCTGTCTCTCTCTCCCTCTTTCGCATCTTCCTCCTTCACCTCCACTTTCATCCTCCTCTTCCTCATGCTGCCAACCAACATGGAACCTACCTGTTACGAGAATGTTTAATAGAATTAAAGTTATAAAGTAATAGACTGTCTACCAACCCCCCATGACCTCATCCAGTCCATTCCTCTCCCTTCTCCACTTCCCCCGGCCTGCACCCTCTCCCTCTATCCGGCCACCTCTTGCCACTGACAGTCCCGCCTGCATCGCACTTCAACGAGTCCATCACCAAGGAGAAAGACGCCCAACAACTTACAAATCGACAGTAACAGAGACAGAAAAAGGGACTAACATTTCTTCAGTCATGAGTGACGGCGCTCCTCCATACCATTCATTCCCATTCATCCAATTCATTTGCTTTTCAATTTCCGTCCTCTGTCAGGATGCAGACACTCACATTTTACACAACAACAACAACAACACACAAACAATAATATAATAAATAATAAACAATAAAAACCTTCCAGGTGTCGAACAATAAATTCCGAGTAAATGAGATTACAAAGTCAGTTTTATAAACTTTTATAACAAGGAGGGTTTCATCTGGCCCTGTTTTAAGATTGTTACAGTAACAATAATAACATAATAAAATGATGCTCATATTAAGGTATGAAGGCAGGCGCAATAAGAAATAAATCCATCTATATTTAGTAAGAAGAAGTTCCGTGGTAATAACTTTTTAAGGATTAACATAAGAATTGATTAAAGGGAGTCGAAACTCTTATTTATTCTCTTTCAGTCGGATTTTAAAAGAAAAAACATCATTTTAAAAACTATTATTTCAGATATTTTATTATTAATGATGAATCAGAGGAAAAGAGTACATTTACTCAAGGTACTGAAAGCTTTTTAGGTCTATATGATTATTGAATTATTCTCAATTTTTTTTTTTTTTTTTTCTTGATCGTTTGCATTTATAAAATGTCAGAAAATATTCAGTCTAATATGAAACAAACAAATAAAATCAGTTCCCCGACTTAAAAAACAATAAGATTTCTTCTACAGATTAATCAATGAACTCTTTGATTTTATTTATCTTGTGCGATCGTTAATCATGGCAGCTTCATATTTCTGTTACTTTATACTTTTACACTTTAATTTACAGAATGTTATTTAGTGTTTATTGTTCTTATGAATAATAATAAAATGACTTACTGCACATTTATTTTAACACTTACAGATCAATTAATGTCAGAAAGTATTAACGTAAATCTGGTACCTGAATATTGTTCTACAATGCATGAAAGATCCTGCAATAAATAATAATTTCTTACCTACACTCTACATACCAAATACTATCAGCTGCAGCTCTCATCTCCATATGAAAACAATACCTATATTCCAACCCTTAAAATCAATACAGACATATTCTAACACCCTCTAACTATACACATGTCTAGAAATAGAAGATTGTGGGTATTTATTTAAGTGTACTCAAAACGGCCAAACTAATATACAAATTAAATACAAAGTTAATAAGCCTATGACAAAGAAACAATGTTACATCAATAATATACATTCCCTCTCGCGCTCTCACCGCCATACACTATAACTACACGAAGCAGATCACCAATATCCCTACTTATATTCTATGCTACTCACCTCTAATCCCCCTCACCCTTTAATGATACAGCCCTCTGCTGCACGAGACACAGTTATATACCCAACATCGAGAACAATAAACACTACTAATTAAATCAGTTACTATAAAATAAACTTTAAGTTGTATCTTTTAAAAATCCATTCTGTACAAATTCAATTTGTTTTAATAAAAAAATATAAAATAAAGTAAAATATCAAATTTTACATCACAATGTCTCAAATGAAAATTAAAAAAATGTGATTTACAGAAATAAATTGATCAACTGTAGTTCACACACACACACACA